AGTCAGCTGGCTCGGAGTCAGGAGCCTTTGTTATTCATTCCATTCCTGTTCTTTCCAGGCTTCTGATGATCCTTTTCTCTCTATTCTTTTAGTATAGTTTTAATATATTATTTTAATATAATATATATAATAATATAATAAATCAGCCTTCTGAAACATGGAGTCAAGATTCTCATCTCTTCACTCATCCCGGGAGCCCCCGCTGGTTCAACCACACAAGAGCACAAGAATCCTGATGAGGCTGGATGGCACCAAGTGACCTATCCAAAAACAACCCCTTTGGGATCCCATTGAGCTCTGCAGCTCTAGTCTGGCAAATAATATTATAATCTCACACAGTGGCCTTGGAAGGATATTTTATTTTTCTAACATCCAATCTAAACCTCCCCTGGAGCAATTTGACATTTCCTCTCATTCTGTCACTCATTACCAGGAGCAGAGGCTGAACCCCATCTGACTCCTTTCAGGGAGTTGTGGAGAGTAATAAGATCCCCCCTGAGCCTCCTTTTTTCCAGGCTGAGCCCCCCAGATCCCTCAGCCTTTCCTCATCTGTACTCCAGACCCTTCATATTGTGTCACACAAGGAGTGGAGGAGTTGACACCATTTATGCTCAACCTTAGGTCACCAATGGGTTTTAAGAAAGCAGGTTAATGCAGACCTTTGCAGCTTCTTTTTCTCAATGGTTGCCAATAACCAATTTACTCTACAGTCCCTGATTAATTCTAAGCTTAAAGTAAATACCTAGGCAATATGCTTGCCATAGCACAGAGGCTGTTCAGAAACTATTGCTTAACATCCCAAATTAACTGGAAAATCATTTGCATCTTGTTTTACTTTTCAGCAAATTAAACCTTCTCTCCCCAAACCTGTTACTTGTGTACTACTCAGGGAAATCTGAAATTGTCTTGTAATGTGGAAAGTATATAACAAAGTCAAAAAATATGAATGTCTCATCCTGATCCCCCCAGAGTTTTGCTGTTTGCTATTATTTATAAAGATTAATGGCATCAATCCTTGCTCCTCTAATGAATATAATAAGTCTAAAATCTTCCTGGATGGGTTATTTCACCCAATTGGCTTGAAAAGAATCAGACCCATAAAGTTTACAAAGTGATTCAGGAAATACAATGCAATAAATCAATTCTCCAACTACTGTTATGGAAAGAAGAAAGTATTTCTTATGGTAAGGCTAAATGAATGAATTAGGAATGGATTCACAAATAAAGCTGATAGAAGAAATCTAGAATACATTTCTTTATTATATAATTCTGTTTGTAGCAGCTTTTTGTCTCGCTAAAAATCAGATTTAATGCAGACTATTAAGGTGTCACCTGTAAAAGAAATACAAGTTTAGTCCTTTTTACAGTAGTGCCACAAATTCTGTTCTGATTATAAATATTTTACTATATGTAAAGTGTTGTTCTGGGGCCATGTGGTTCCTTTTAAAACACATGTGAACCCTGACCATGTTTTAAACTAAATGAATCTACAACATCCAACACAGTCTAACCAAGAGCAGGAATGCAAGAGCCTAGATGTCCTCTGTATGGACAGAAATGCTTGTTTATATACTAGAAATGTCCTTTTATGACTAACTGTTGCCTTGGAAACCATTACTAAAAATGAAAGTTTTGTCTCCAAAGAGAAAACCCACATAGTACTCGGTTATCCCAAAGTTTGCCTTGTCTTTTCCTGATCAATCTGGAACACAAAGATTTGCAGTCAAATGTTCCTGGCTTTTAATTCCTTCTTCCTATTCTAAAATGGTATCTCGCTGTAAATTTTTTGATTCCAGGTAACAAACAGGAATCAATATTTTATTTCCTAAAAACCCTCTCATCAAAGACATATTTACATCCTTTGTCTCAATAGGCTGGAAAACAACAGCAACAAAAGAAAAAAAAAATAACACAATAATTGACCACTGCATCACAGATACAAAAGTCTATTTATTTTTGACTTACAGTATATTGTAGATAATTTCCAAGGAAAACATCCAATTGTACCTTTCAGTTTCTGACACCAGGACTAAGACAAAAAGGGGAAGATAAAATAATCATTTTCCTCTGAGCACTGACAGTGCTGTACAGGAAGATGTGAGGCTAAAAATATCACTCTTCAATATGCAGACCCACTCTGTGGATTTCTTACATGGGGTATGGGGCTGTTATCAATAAAAATCTCTGTGGAGAGGATACATGAATTCTAAAATCACCAGAATCTTTGAAGGAACACTGAGGGTTTAACCTTCAGATTGCTCAAAACACAGTATGGAACTCAAGAGATGCTATAAAATCCTCTAGGAATACACATGGCCTTCTGTTGGAAAGATGCTCATGAGGGAGGGAAAGGTCAGTGCCAAAATGCTGGGCAGTGAGAGCTGCAGGAGGATTTGGCACCCAGTGTGGGCTTCTTGTCCCTTCTGTTACCATGAAAGCCTTCCCTGAGTCCTCCACAGCCACTGTGACAAATATTTTATCCTTTGTGTCCCCACCCTGTTTTGGTCAGAGTTGTGCTGAGTCCTTTTAAAAACTGACAGGGTTTTTGACTTCCCGCTGGGTGTTCCTACAGAGAAATCTGCTGGACTTGCTCAAGGGGAACAAGACCCCAGGGATGGAGCCCATGGAAGGCAAGACCATCCCACAGAAACCTGGCTGTCCCCAGTTCATACACAGTGAGTGTGACACAGCACATGGACTGCAGCTCAGGAATGAGGGAAGGACACTTCCCAAGGACCACAGGTGACAGGAAGAACTGGGCAGGCTCTGCCACAATGACTAAAAGAGTCAGTGTGTGATGACCCACTTGCAAGAACAGGAAAGCTGGAGTTGAAGGAATAAGTGATTTGAAATGCTTTCCATTTCCCTTTGGTTGCTTTGATTTTATCCCATTTACTAAGATTTTAGTTAATATCATAATGGTACATGATGATATTAATGTACCATTACGATATTAACTATCATAATGGTACATTTTCCCACCTTAGTTTCAAAGCTTTTTGATCTTCTTTGGAGGGTTCATGGTCAAAACAGATTCACCTTGGATGCCTGGCTGCCACAGGGATGTGCCACTGCCATCAGCCTCTGTGACATCCCTCCTGCTGGGCACGCTCTTGGTACCTGCCCAGCAGCATTTGGTAGTTCAGCACCTGGCTGCAGCCTTGGCAGGGTGAAGCAGTGGCTCTGAGGCACTCCTGAGTTCTACACCTACACCAGGCTCTCGTGTTTGGGTGAAAAGGAAAACAGGCAGCATTTCAACAAAGCCTGTTCTACATTTCAAGGAAGTCCTTCAGCACAGATAAATGAAAAAAGGAACATGTCATGGCATTGTTTGTGTTTTTCACAATGTAGCACGTCCTGATTAAAAGCAGCTCTAACCATCACGACCAGGACAGGCACCAACTACTCTGTGAAACTAATTGTTCTCTGTTGGCATCCAGCGGAAAATTACAGGATAAATAATAGCTGAAAGCCTCCAATTCTCATTTGGTATCTTTCCTGTATCCTCCTCACTGGGAGAGGGGCTGCCTGGCCATTGCCAGTGGCTGGCACCAGCTGGGGACATTAGCCTGGGCTCGGAGCTGAGGCTGTCACTTGACTCCTGCCACTGGGGCACCTGGTGCCAGCTGAGCTCCTCACACGGGCCACTAGCCAGCCTCAGCCCTCGTGTGAGAACCTGCTCGTGTCTGTCTTCCCTTTCAAGACTCTTACTAAGAAGCAGTGTGAAGCAAAACAGGTTTTGAGAACTGAGTGAAGAAAATTTCTGCTGTAAAGTACTGGGGGCTTTTTTCCCCCAGCTGGCATATTAAAACCAATAGAAAACCTTGCAAAGTGACTTTTTCTTCTCTAAGTCAGCTTGCAGTTCTGTACAGAACTTCCATGAAATGGAAGTTGCAGAAGAATTATCAGAACACCTCTATTTTAGGCCTAAGCTAAAAGTAAATATATATTCTACATATATAAATATATAAGATCTAAAATCCCATTACAATATCTAAATTGAATTCAGTAGATGCACTACAATACTTACTGCAGCACAGAGAAATTAGATGAGTTCCTTATTTTGGCCATACATCACTTTTTAAAGTGGAATAGAAAAAAAAAGGGTAATAAATTATTTAATGTTCATTTATCTTCTCTATTACAATTCTGTCACTGTGCCCTATCATGGGAATATACAAATTCTGCACATTTTGTGAGAGTAGTAATGAGAATGCACTCTTCTTCTGAAATAGTTTTAGTTTAAGTGATAGAGATGAAAGTTACTCAAAAACCAGCTTGCAATTAACTGTTGTGATAATAATTGCATCTGAAATGTAGTTTGGTATCAGGAAAAATGGTGTGTCGGGACTTGTCATTTGTCTTCTTCACGTTCAAGAATTTTTCACTTCACTGGAACCCCCTTACAACACCACAAACCAAAAAAACCCACCCCAACTCCCCACACCCAAATCCCCTTTTCCAGTTTATTTGCATCACATAAGGAATTAAGTATTAATAAACTGAGACCTAAACCATGCAAAGAAGGTCCTGCACGTCCTGCTAGAAGATAAACTTCAGTGAAATAAAATTAAATTTCTAATTTATGAATGCAAGGCTTGCGCTGGCAGTGTGCTTCCAACAGTGAAGCTGGTAAGATTCTCTCCTCTCCCATCTCTCTCTTTCACAACCACATCCTTGTAAATGAACACAAATTGCCAGAAGAGGAAACAATACGGAAAAAGAACCTTCACAGCCAACAAAACCACAAAGAATAAGAAAGGTCTCCCACTTATACTTGCACATTTGCTTCAAATAAACTTTTGCCAAAGTTTATTAGCACATCCCTTAGCCAAAAAAATCAAAACAACTTCCCTTAGCAATGCCAGTGTGTTTGCTGAATCACACTGAGAAGGGAACAAAGCCAATTCCAACTCTTCTTCCTATGACACAGACAAATCTGAAACTGGAACACAAGAGGCACCAGGCAATCAGCTGCTCAAATTAGATAAGAAACTCACACTTGTGGTGTAGGCAGCTTCGGGGTCGTCCTCCAGCACCCGTGAGAGCCCAAAATCAGAGACCTTGCACATGAGGTTGCCGTTGACCAGGATGTTGCGCGCCGCCAGGTCCCGGTGCACGTAGCCCATGTCGGACAGGTACTTCATGCCAGAGGCAATGCCCCGCAGCATTCCCACCAGCTGGATCACCGTGAAGTGCCCGTCGTGCTTCTGCAAGGGAGGAACAGCACAGCTACTTCCCATTTGTCTCGTGCCAGTGATGCCAACCACTGCTCTTATTTAAAACGCTTCTGTCACCAGTCCAGCAAGGCTGCCCACTTGCAAGCTTGTTTTTTCAAGGACTTAAGTTGCTTGGCAGTGCATCCCATCAAATCTCTCATTGTGCATTATCCCCCTCTTCTCCACATGTTCATACATTTCACAGTCTTCATACTGACAGCATTTAATTGCTTTCATACTTGGTTACTATGAACGCCTTCCCCCAATGCTATTTTTAGTATAAGAATGAGAAAGGACACAAATTTCTTCACCTATAGTCTCAGGAAACAAAGAACCCTCTTTTTATTGTCTCAGCCTTGATTGTCTGCATTGAGGTACTGCTGTTACCTCACTTTTATGGTATTTTTTTGGAGAGGGTTTGTTTGTTAAAAAAAAAAAATCCCAAAATAACCTAAAAAAAAAAATTTTGGGGCTTTAGCTCATGCTTGTACACCTAACACCTAATGTCTGAACACTAGATTAAATGGGGTTGAATTCAGGGGTTATGTAGGCTTGCCAGAATTTTCCTGGCAGATTAAACTCAGATCCCTGAATGCATTAAATACCTTCTGAAAACTATTGGAGTTGAACATGTAAATAAGAGTTAAGTCATTAACTGTGCTTGCCCAGCTGGGCAGCCTTGCTGGGCCTCAGTTTCTCCATCTGCTGCATCAAAGTTAACACTTCTCTATGTCCTGCATCAGATAGCTCCTGAATTTTGTGGCAGTGGGGACCTGCACAGAAATGTGACTGCAGGCTCTCTGCCTTGTTTAGACCTGCTCTCTCTACCATTCACAGCAGGCTGCTTGCAGGAGTATTTCTGTGACCCCACCTGGCAGACATTTAGCTTCTCATGGATTGTTCAGTGACCCAGGCTTTTTATGTTTGCAGGAACAGCCAAACAACACCAACTCCTGCAAACAAGTAAACTTCCTGTTTTCTCTTTCAACACTTTTAACACTGGGCTACAGACAAAGAACAAGTTCTGATCAGCATTCAGGACACTTCTGTTGCTTAGCTCATGCGTTTAAGCAAGATGATTTTTATAGGGGAAAAGCTTACAGGAAGTTCAGCAAATCCATCAGATTCAGCAAAGCAACAGGAGGCTGAACTATGCTTAGCTTCATCCCTGGTCAGCAAAGTATTTCAGCATTCCCATAATGATTCAATGATTTGGGGCCTGTATCCAGCTAGTCAGGATATGAATATTTAAAGGCTATGACAAAAATCAGAAAGAAAATGGTAAAAGGAGGATACAAACACACCTTGTCAGCTAGATGACCTCACTGCCTTATTATACCTCTCAGCAACACTTGTATTTAAGGAGCCATGCCAAACACCACAGCCGCCTCCTAAGAAAGTACATTTAATGACACTTCTTTGAAATCAGCTATTTACAACTGATTTACAGCATTTCTTCCCCTTGAATGTGTCAGTGTCTTAGGGCAGTAAAGCTTTTCTGTCTCTAAAATCTTTACACTGAAGTACAGACAGCTCTCCCCAAGGAGGCCACACCTTCCCTTGTCACCATCAAGGCCAGGGATGAGCAGCTGGTTCTGCAGAGGACACTCAGCTGAGGATCAGGACACAACTTCTATGAGTCCCAGACTACCAGTGACTACCAGTTTTCAATAAACTCATCCCATCCAGCAATTCAGCAAAGAGTGACAAAAGATTATATTTTTAACTACTTTAAGCTGCTTCCTGTAAAAGAAGGACAGGAATTCCAGCCAATATTTTTGTAATGAGGTCACATGGGATTTCTGGGTTTGCCTTTTATTTAATAATTCTTATTGTTCACTTGATTAAAAAATTACAAAGCTGGTTGCCAACAGTTAGTACTCTTCACACTTACTATGTACTATGTATGGATTATTTTTTTCAGCTAACTGTAGAATTAGGATTTGGAACAAAGTGCCAGCACCTGATTTTTGCAGAATGACAATTCAAGGCCCTCTCTACCCCCACAACAAAGCACCAAACTAAACCAACCCCTCAAACCTCTACATTTTACCTCCTCCTTAACAGCTCCGTTTTTTAACAAACCTCAGAGTCATCTGCAGCACCTCCCTTAACCTTTTGTCTTCTTGGATTGCAAGCATTCTTGGATTGCAATTTCCTTTTTTAATTTCTGCTCTTTCAAATCTAGACCATGCTTGGCTGATTTTTCATAAAGCATAACCTTTTGTCTGCTCTTTCCAAGTCTCAGTACTTGCCTTACCAGTACAGCTGTAATGCCTGATTTTAAAACAATCTCATGCTTTTGCCATTCTCTCCATCGTATTTCAATTTTTTTTGGGATTCTGCCTTGACACAAAAAGTTAAAGCTTCTTATCTTCAGTGTTAAAGAAATGACAGACCTGCTAACGTACCAGCTGCAATTTAATTCTGTCCTCCTTCTCCCTCTGCATATTTCTCAGAATCCTCTACTGCATCTGCTCTCCTCTCTCTTTTCTCATGCTTGGTTTTATATTTTTTCACTGCCAGCCTTGCAGTTGGACCAACTGAATCTTTACTGTCAGCAGAACAGTCTTTTCTCAATCAAGTCTCTTTGTAATCACTTCTGCATCGGTTTCCATGCCAGCTGTATCCCCTTACAATCTATAAACTTATCATTCAGTACATCAAAAATTTTTTGATGTAAGCTGATTGGGATACAGACCATGAGCTATATTTAACCTTTCGAAAATTCAGCTAGGTTGATGAAATTATAGCAGGAAGAAGCTGACCTCATATTTTCAGCATTTTTTAAGCCCCCAGGTACAATCCTTTGGCAACTTTCCACTAACTTGTTTCATTCACTTGGCATACAGGGAAATAAAACACTCATCTGACTATCATGACTGATAGCGTGGTTGTTACCCAGGGCTTTATTCTGATTCCCATAGCTTAGATTTGAAATATGTTTTTGATAGGATTCCCACTGGGCTGTTAAGGGTGTTAATCAATACTGGCAACAATTCAGACCTCAGTGGTCTCACCACATTTATCCTATCATCCCATTAAATTTTAATCAAGCTTTGATGGCTTTTCTGAATAAACTTTTCTCAACAGCTGGGTATAGATGCAATATCTGAGTAGTTGCTCTTGCATTCACACAGTCTTTAAAAATGCCCTGAAAACATTATTTTTATTCAGCTACAGTTTGCTTTTAAGAACCTTATTTAAGTTAAATATTCTCCTCATGTTATGGACCTTTCAAGACCACTAACTTATAATGGGCTGCTGAAGAGGTTCAGGTACTGTAGGGGAGGAAGTAGGATATCCAGACTTTCTCTCATTGCATTTTGCCCTCCAGTTTTCAGCTCCAGTTGAGTGCTTTTCTACAAGCCTGTGGCATTTTTCTTCTTCAGAAGGTTTTCACCATTTTACTACCCAGTAATCTTTTGGAGTGGCCAGTGGATTTTTCTGTATTGTTTCTGGAGTTCCATCTATTCCAAATTCCACTTCCTTATGTGCCAAATGATTCAGAACACTTTTAGGCGTTTATCCTCTGTACAGGATTTACTACAGGTCTAAAAATTTTACTGCAGATTATTTAGATCTCATTTTAGATGGAGAACAGCAGTGAAAATGGTGTGTCTGTGTCTAACTTAGATCATATTCTCCACTGACATTTCCTACTGGTCACTGGGTGAAAAATGCAGTTTTTGCTATGCATTTGTTGTTACAGTTTTACACATTTACTGTGCAAAGTAAATGGTGGAACTTTGTCATGATAAATCTTCCAAAATTCAAGTTGCAGCTTGATATTTCTTGGAAGCGTTCCTCATTCTTCAAACTATCATGTGTGTCACACTAAAGTTTATATTTTTGGTACTAAATGAGGTCAGCTGATAATTTCTTCTTCATTCAACTGTTGACAGAGCTCCATGCAGACTTAATTATTATTAATAGATTCCATTAATTCAATTTCTAATTACTTTAGTTCATTTTAAATGCTAATGAGTGATCCTACACAGAGTGCAGAACAGCCCTACCTCGTACTTCCATCCAAATTCCATTCCCTCCACACAGGATTTAGCAGAAATTTCATGAAGATGATATTTCTCTGGCTGCTCACAAGCATCTCATGTTTTAGAGAGAGTTTTAAAGCCTTACTGAAGCCCAAGTTTATGAGATCAGCTGCTTCTCCCACAGCCATAAATCCTGAGCCCTGCTACAAAAGGAAACCAGATCTGTTTGACAGAATTAGTTCTTGACAAATCCATGTTGGCTCACACTTATCTCACTGTTATCTTTAAGATGCTTAGACTTTGTTTGATAATTTGTTCCAGAAATCTTACAGCAGTTGACATTAAGCCGACTGGCCTGTAATTTCTTGGCTTCTTTTTTCCTCTATTCTAAAAGACATTCAAAATCCCTTCATTTAAAAGCCACTGGCTCTGTTTGGATCTTCTGATTTCTCATTGTTGACAAATTCATAAAGAGCACACTGAGAGACTCCACATTACCTTTCAAATTCTTTTTGCCTTTGAATACAAGACCATTTGTAGAAAATTTCCTGTTGCTCAGTACTAAGGATATCTAGTATTTAATGTCTAAGTAAGAATATCTACATACTAAAAATGCCCAGAATTTCTAAATCAAATTCCCACAACAGCATCAGAAATGCTGTTTTATACATACTTTTAGGAGGGTAAAACCTTGCTTGAGAACAAATACTGGCTCTGTAGCATCAGTGACACCTTCTCAGTGCAATCTTAGGTCACTAAAATACATGCTGCTTACAATTTCACTGTTAAGGTAATGCACCTTTCAAATTCACTTTCTAATTGCTCAATCTGATTTAAAAAAAAAAGAAAAAGGTATCATCAGTTTCCAGGTTCCTAGTGCAGGTTTTCTCTTTTACAGACTGATTTTTGAAAGCAAAATGCCACCTTTATCCTGCCAGGAAAGGAACGTGCCTCCAATAAATTAAAGTGCATGTGAATGCTGTGTGGGAAAGCAAAAGAAGGAATATTAGTTATGAGCTCCAATGTTTTTGCCTCTCTGAATGCAGATAAATAATAACAGGAAGCATTAAACTTAGGAAAGGCCATCTGGCTTTTTTCCCCCCACAGCCTGCTCTGTCTGGTGAGGCCATGTTAGATGGATATACAACACACACTTTACAACACTGTTTCACAGAATTTGCTGCAAGTGCTCATTTTTGTCTTCTCCCACTTTCCCCCCAAACTTGCTAAATGTGTCTGCCACAGCATCTAAACTGTAGCTGAAAAAAGGGTGAGTGTGATGGCAAAGCTGCTCTGAGAATAACTTCATAACGATTACTGCAAGAAACAGCAATATATCACAATATTTTCTCTGTCTAGTAACACTTATCTTAGCCTCTGCTCGGCCAGCCTTGAGGGATTAAAGCTGAATTCCAGGGTTTCACTTGCTGTACAGTCTGCTGCAGCTGGTGCTCTAAGGCAATTAAGCTTATTTCTTATAGACTCTTAGAAAGAAAAAAAAACAAAGTGTGGCAGCATTTTTACTTACTATCCTTGCCTGTATATAAATATTTTTTCCACAAGTATTTTAATTTTCTGAAGTGAATGGAAATCCATCAGCACCAGTTTTGAGAAGGAAGAGAATTACAATGGCAAATAGCAAAAATGAAGAAAGCAAGGTGGTGCTGTGATTACCCCAGGTAAATGCATCACTTCCTTTTACAACTCTGAGATTCACAAAACTGGGGAAGACTGGAGCATCTTTCAAACCTAAATATCTCTGTCTATTCAGCACACCTTGGACACTGAGCAGGAAACTACTCTGGTAGTCTGCAGCTGCAGAAAAATACTGAAAGAAGTTCAATATTCTGGTGATATTCTTTGGTTCATTTAATGTGATTTTGGGTAGCCAACCATGAACCTCCTCCAAAAGGGAGCTTCCAGACACGTTCCTTTTCTGTGTTTGAATCCATGGCCACAGTGCCTGGTGCACGAGGAGGTGAGCACAGGCCACAGCCAGCTCAGAGCTCTCCAGGAATCATTGTTCCCAAGAAGCCACCTCACTTCCTAACCACCCTGTTCCTCTCCATGTGATCCTAAATCCAATTGTTTAGCCAAGACCCCATAAATGAAGCTGTGAAGACAAAATGGAGCAGACGAGATTTTAATCTGAATATCCCCGTGAATCTGTGAGGCACATGCTTAGAGAGTGGGCTGAGTGGGGGACGTTGTGTCGGGGAGGAAAAAACCAACCTCGAGGAAAGGACTTTTGTAGGAATTATTGCAATCATCTCATAGGCTTGGGTCCAACAGCCATCTCCAACCCACTGCAGGGCATACTGCCAAACTGCTTGCTGAAAAGGTTTTGTGGGTTTTCAGCTCTTTTTTCCTCTAGTTTGTGGTTATTACGCATCTCTCCTGGTTGTCTTTCTTGTTGTCTCTTCTGCAGCCTGTATCCACAAGCCTGAGCACACACATCTGACTGCAGCTGCCCTGTCTCATCAATAACATCCTTCCATCAATGCAGAGAGCTGCCCTTTCAACCCTTCTTGCCTTTATTATTTGCCTTATATGTCTGCAGAATAAAGGATTGCTGAGATCTCCATGACACAGGCAGGTAAAGCATAGTGACAATGAGCCCCATCCAAAATCTGTGTGTGAAGCTGCTAACAGGAAATTTTACCTGTGTCTCCTCAATTCCCAGGGTTAGCCACTTTCTTTCCAGGCACAGATTTCCTCTGTCTGGAAGCTCTTGGTGTAATGCTGGAAGAGGCTTCGAGCCCCTGAGGAAATACTTAGCTGGAAACCCACATCCTTTTTCAGAGAAATCTCTCCAAATGTTACCAGAAATGAAGCCACATGAACCTCATTTCTGGTCAAACAATTGTTTCATTGATTGCAAATTTCAGGTATACTTTTCTGAGATGATTAACCAAATATGTCTCAATCTTATATGATAAAAAACTTCCAAACAACACTACAAAAAACTAAGTTTCATCTTTTGTAAATGAGTTTTATATAATTGGGAAAATAATGCAGTATTTCTGAGGAAAATTCAGTGTCAAGTGTATCCAGCAATTTAGGATGTCTGATGATGCACAATCACTGAAATTAATTACCATCATCTTACAAAATTGGTTCTAATTAGCTGATGCCTTCCCACTTCAGAATATCTCTGAAGCAGCTTCATATTGCAAATCCATGCCAATGCTTTTTACCCAAAAATGTTAGCAGCCGGCATACAGGATCCTTTGTGGGGTGGGGAAGACATAATTCAGCTGAGCTTGCTGTTAAATCCACATAAATAGCAGAAAATGGGCATTTCTGTCTCTAAAGCAAGGAGTAAAGGCTTTTCAGATTTTAGGGGTGAGAGATTAAAGGGTGGGGAGAGGCTTCTGATTTGTGGCACAACCTGTACTGGCATGAAAGAAAATATCCCACCACAGCTGTGAGGAGGGTGATGGCAAATGGAATTCTTCCTCTGGAATACCCTCACATGGTTCATCACAGCATCTCACTTTGAATTTGTAAGACTGACCCATTTTTGCAGGCTTTTGAAGAAAGACAGATGGAGGGATTTGCTGTGGAATTTTTGCTGGTGGTATGTGGGGAAATATTTCTTATGGTGAGAAATGGACTTTTTTCCCCTCTGTGTAAAAACACTTTGCACTGGAACAATTGATTCCTTTAAATAATAAGAAAGACAGACTATGTGATAAGCCCTTCCAAATCCCACAACATTTGTTATAGTCACTGAACGCCTTTCATTAGGATTGCTAAAGATAAAGCCTCTCTGCTGCTTTGTATCTTCACAAAAGCTTTTAAAAATGTGGACTTATATCTGCAGGAAACAACTATTATTAATGAAGCAGCTGGATTTCTTTTTAAATAGGTTACTTTGCAGCCATTTGCTCTGCTAATTATAAACAGAAATGCTGACATATATCTACAGTGCTTTGGGATGTTGAATATTATCTAAAGTACATTTAAAAAGCCTTTTAGAAGAATAACCCATATCTGAAGTGTGAATTGAAGCTGTGAAATAATATACATGAAAAACAGCTGCAGAAATTATTAGCTCACATTTTCCCCCAGCAGTTCTCCTTCCAAATATATCTGATGCAATGTGAGAAGCATTGCTCCACAGTAACATCATAATTCTGCTGATGCCACTTTCTATTAAAGTATCCTACTAAGTAGTTACTGTTCTGATACATGAATGCATGTGAAATAAACCTGGAATATAGATATCACACCAGAGCAGTTCAGAGAAAGGTAATTCTCTCTCAGGAATTATTTCAGGACTTGGTTCTGTTCTCTTCTGTGAAATTCTCCATGCACACAAACATGAACAGAACAATGTTTCAGGCCCAGACAATTCTTCTTGGGGCACTGCTGAAAAATCACAGAGCAGGAAAGCTGCAGGGCCAGTTCAAATCAGGCTCAAATCAGGGGCAGTTCCTGTGCTGCAGATGGACAGAGAGATGAGCCAGAAAGGGAAGGGGAGTAATTTTTAAAAGCTACCCAGTGTCCAAGACATTGATGATATCAGATGCTCCATAAAAATAACTTGATTTTGAGAAATCAGCAAATTGTCACAGGAAACTGCTGGTATGTTTCTGACAACATAACAGATGTCTGTCATGTGTCTTGACAATGGAAAATAAAAAATTACTTGGGAGATAGGTGAGGAGGACAACAAAGAAATGTCTGAGAAAAATTACTATGGAATAATCCAAACCAAAAAGTGAAGAGAATCAGGGTCTGGAGGTATCTGTGCCAGTGGCTATGCTGTACTCTCAGGGCTGTATCCCTTGCTCCAATTGCTCCTCTCTGGTGGCTTCCCCTCTTGCCAACAAGTTCTGCCTCCATGACTTTCTCCCCCTCATGTAAATCTTTCTGAAGTGCTGGCTGATTCTCTCTCCTGCTTATTCACTTTTTTTTCTCTAAGCAGTTTCCTCCTCCTGCTACCACAGAAGAGCCTTCAGTCACCATCACCAAGATTTTCATGCCAGTATTTCCACAGCTCCCTGTTGAATGTGTCTCCTTTGGGATACCCTTTCAAACACGTTCCCAAACCCCCAGGCCCCTAACTCCCCACAAGCCCAGATTTTCTATTCTGCAGGATGGAAATGACAGTGGGCTACTGGGGGCTGGTGTTTACTTTTTAAGACAAATCTGAGATACTTGTCATTAAAATTATTCACACAAGTTCTTAGGTCACTGGGTCTCTGGAGCATTTCCAGGGGCTCTGTTAAAAAAAGGACTGTTTTAGGATAACTTTAGCTCACAGAGGGGAGATCATCCTTTCCTTTTACGTTTCTAAAAAGAATGAAAAACAATTTTGCCATCGTATTACTCACATTTTCTGTAGCCCTTCTTTAATGTTTACTAAGGACCTTTGGGGGTTAATTAATGCCAGGACATTTCACCCACGAACTGTTTTCTAATTCAATTTGTTAAATGCAAGTAGCCATAAATATTATAAATCAATTACTGAGTATATTCTACGCTTCACCAACCAAAAAAATCATAACAGAGTATTTTTGAAGGTGATTGAGAAAAATGAACCACTTCCATAAGGCCAGGCATTTATGCTTCAATTTATCTTTTCTTTCACAAAAACAATTTGAAATACATTTTGCTAAATACAGGAACTACTTTTGTAGAAGAAATCAATTATATTCTAAAGTTTAAATCTTCTTTTTTTTCCAGCCGTGCTCTAATGTATTACTGTACCTCAGAAAAGTACCCTGGGGAAAAGGCTTCTCTTCTTCACTAGAAATCCATGAATAACATTATGTAGAAATTAATTTGTGATAAATGATTTAAAATCTTAACCTAGAATGGTTTCTGATTCAAATGTCATCAGAAAATGGCACCTCACCCGCAGGAAGGAGTCAAGGGATCCGTTCTCCATGTATTCAACTACAATCATTACTGGTCTGCCTGCAAAACAGCAAAGAGACACATCAGGATTAGGGACATATTATGGGGATTTTACAGTTCTAGCTGTTCTGCAGAGATTATTCACAGTAGCTGAATATATAAAATATTTCCAAAATTCTCATTTATATCACAAACACAATTCCCTGTGTTACTATTAAGAATTATTTTATAGGCTTTCTTTTTTTTTATTTTTTTTTGTTTGTTTGTTTGTTTGTTGGTTTATTTTGGTTTTGGTTTTTTTTTTTTTTTTGGTTCTTAATGGATCAGCTGAATGCACATCATTCACTTTGGTGTATTCTCCCTTAAAAATGATCAAAGAAGAGCCTGCTATCTCCAAATAGCAAAACGTGCCATGTAATATTTTGGAATGTATCTGAATTAAGGCAAACGCCAAATATTCATAGGCCATGTCCAAGTAATTACAAACTGAGGGTCATAATTTTCCTCTCAAAGAAAAAGATCTCAGTGACTCAGGAACACAGGAGAGTGATAGAATGGGGTGTCTCAAAAGAAGTTCTCCTAGATCTGCTGTGTGCATTGGTTGTGTATAATCCAAAAAAAAACCTCTGAATTCCTATGTTTGAAAATACCTAAAATATACACAGTGTTACTCAAATCAAGGTTTTGCTCAACCAGCACAGTCCCAGGGTGGGCATCATATCCAAATTGAAGCAGAGCAAGACATTACACTTATGTCTTGAAAGGATATCCCAGTCTGAAGATAAACTTTTGAAATGTGTACTTAACTTTAACACCAGCTGGGGTAACTTTAACACTGCTGGTATCCTTATAAAAACAAAAAACCTCTGTAAGTGCTTGAAAGGGGCAATCTGGCTGCCAACCAGGCTGCACAGCAATTCTTAGAATTACCAATATCCCAAAGCAGCCATTTTACACAAAAAATGAATAATAATATTAATTAAATAATATTAAAAAATGAAGAATAATGTTAATACTATTAGGAAATAGGTGAAAGGGCTTAAAATGGCAGACTTTTCTTTTCCTGGGAATGCCCATCTCTTTTGGGGTTTGTGGGAAACCAGAGCTATGCCAAGAGGTGACATGGTCAGTCCAACATTTCCCTTCCTCAATTCCACGCTAGCTGGGCCAATATTTTTCAAATGCAAAAGAAGACTTTTTCATCACTTTTTTTTTCTTCTTCTGCTCCATTTATGTTTGTGATTTTTTTGGATGAAGGGATGAGAAACACAGAAAGCACTCGGGCTGATAAAGCGCAGAAGGGCGTTTTGATTGTTCCACCACAATTATCTATTTCTGTTCAGTTTGGTTAATAGTGGAAGTGTTTATTAAACTGTCTACAATGTACAACAGGCCACAGCCAGGTATTTCTCCTGAGCAGTTACAGTTTCCCTTCAATTTAAAAATGAATGGTCCATTTCTGTGTTTGCTCTCCAGCATGGCGACCCAGAGTTTTGGCTTCCTGGTGATGCCCATTCACAGAGCTTAGTCTGGTCTTTTTGTAGTTCCTATCAATATTCCCTCATTTCCTCTAATAAAAATTGTGATTATTTTTGTATTGACTCTCATGTTCACATCTTCCATGAATAAAACATTTCATAGTGTTGTCACAATACTATTTTTTTTTTCTGTGTGTGTGAAAATTCCCAGGTGCCTTGATAAGTCTTTTGGGATGGCCCTTGGAAGTGTGAAGAATAACCAACTTCTTTCTTTTCAACTGAATGTTTAGTCTCAGCTGCTGATATGCATCTGCCAGCAAATCAGTTATATTCATCTGCACCCATTGGTTATACCCTGGTTTTGCAATATAAACTTAAAAGACACATCACTTTTAAGCTCTTAGAGATCAGAGTGTTTTAAAAATTCATGTTTCCTTTAGTTCAGTTTGCTAATGATGACTGGTTGTACAGCCCACTCTCTTTAGTTTCAAGCACATGAATGCCCCAGATTCCCTTCCCTTTATAATTTCCTTACTGTCACAGGGCTGACACCTCCACATGAAAGGAAAATCCTAAAACCTAGAGAAGTAAACAAACTGCAGCCTGATGCTAGAGAATCTTCCACTGCGCGAAACCCTCTTGAGCAAGTAGTCATTTCAGAATTGATGCAGACAATAGCATTTTTCAATAAGTAGGGGTCTAAAGCTGGCTTTCAGATGGCATATTCAGTCAGAAATTTCTCTTTCTGAGTAAATCAACAACTACAACACCTGTACAGAAAATTTGCACTTGAAGGGAAGGACAAAAGGAGCTTTAGAACAGCACCCCTTCTTTCCTGTGGGTAATCTTTTGGCACTCTACACTTTCCAGAAGCTGTAATTTTCTCTAGAGGTTCACAGGCCCTCATTGCAGCTTTTATGCTCCTTAGAGTCACATGCTTCACCACAAATTATTTTCATACTTGTGAAACAGAACTATTAATTCTTCTACATTCTCTCACAAAATATTCTTCCTTCCATAAAACACCCCACCTGTACTTCCTTTTGCTCAGATCCTGTGCTCCTAGGTTAAAGTAATTATGAAATACATTTATATGCATTCATCTATGGATTCAAAGAATGTATTTTGGTATTTTTTTCACTGGATAATGAGGTTTTAAACTACTCAACTTGAATGACTTGAAATGACATGCCTTAACACAAAACCAGCTCTTCCAAGTGACAGCACAGAAATGGCACTAAATACACCAAAAAAGCAGCATTTTCCTTCTAACAGGTTGCTGTATATCAGAAAATCAGCATACCATCAATAAATTTAGTCACTTAGGCTGATAGCTTCCCACTGACTCAGTCTGTATCACTTGCCAAGCTACCTAAATTTCAAATGAAATTGAGGTGGGATTGTGTCAAATCACCACATGTCAAGACACCATGAAAATAAACCTGGCTCCATCACTTGATTATCTCAAGCAAAAATCTTTAATCTGGACACAAACCTAAATTCTCAAATAATCCACTCTTTAGTGTGACAGGACTTGATAAAAGCCACCTGATTTTGTCGGCAAGTTTAATGTATCCCTGGAGCTATTTATGAATTCTAAGCCAGATTGTGACAATGACATTTTTAGTCAGACCAGTATTTGTCTTTGGAGCACCTGTGGGTTAAAAATGTCTCAGCTGTTGTTAGGATAGCTTGAAGACACAGCAAAAAACTCTGTTACACAGTAGAATCCAGTGGGAACTTTTATCACCAAAGTGGCAACACTGGCTCTATTGCCAGTATGTTTTCCTTTACAAAGTAGTGCAACTTGAGTCCAGAAAAACTTGTATGTGCTGGACCCCTGTACAAACACAAAATATTGCTTTAAAGAGGACTACAAAACTGACTTTAAAAATAGCACTGGGAGATTTTTAAACTAGTGTAGTGTTTGCATCTAAATAATTTTTTAAAAAGCCTATAACTTAGATTATGAAAATTCACGCTGTTGTCATGACACTAAGAATTCTTCATCCTCAAAACAAGACAAGAAATGAATAAATGGGAATGGGGTAGAGAAATCTCTGAGACAGAGAAGCAATCTTTGATTATTTTATCAAGGGCTAGGCTAATGCAATGCTGGAAGTTATTGAATTATTTTCCCAGGATTGCTTGCAGCACAAAAGATGGAGAATAAACAGCTTTAAGGACAAAGAGCAGTGGGACACAGACGCAGCCAAGGCACTCCTGGGAGTGACAACAACCTCCACAAGTGGCTGAACCTCCTGGGATAGGAACACACCCATCTCCAGCCCAAAGAATTGCCCACTTTAAGGAAGTGTTTCCACACAGATACAGGAACAGGTACAGGAGAGGGATCTGAAGAACTGAGTTAATTTTACAGTCAAGAGCCACACAAGAGAAGGAATGGGAAAAGGACACTGAAAAAAGTGTCAGCTGAGGGTTTGGAACCAAGGAGCTAAAAAGTGTGGGTGTTGCTGGAGGAGAGCACACAGCCTCTCCTTTGAACTGGGGGAGGATGAAATAAAAATGTTTGAAGCTGGTTCAATGATCAAATCAGTCAAACAAATCAGACTCACAGCAGTTTTAGATGCTTAGCACTGCTGGAGTGGGGAGTACTGGGAGAAAACAGACCTTTTAAAGCAGAGGAATTATAGAGTGTCCTGAGGCAATGGGTTTGAACCCTAAATACAGATTTTACACATTACATATATCACATTTATAATGTGCAGCACATTAGGACAGGTGTATCATTTTACTACATAGTTAAAGTAACAACATGAAATAATTGTATTTATGCATGAGACACACACTGATACCATCCCCACATTCTCTGTTCTCAGATTTTTTGGGAAAGCATAAATATTCCCCCCCAGGCACATGTGGGATATTGTCTGAAGCAGATTTCCCTCCTTGCACATGGAGTAACTGTGGCTCTGGAGGATCCATTTCAGAGTTCCAGCATCTCAGAAAGCCACACTGAACACACAAGAGCAGCACTGGGGCTTGGCATGATGCAGGGAAAGGACAGCAATTCAATTTATCACAAATGAGATGAATCTAGAGAAGGGGCAGGGGCTGTTCACTGTTTTGAGGCAACTCCCACCTTGTGACAAGAGGCTGACTGCTTTGGACAACTCTCCCTAAGGAAATTCTTTGCAGCTCTCCCACTCAGCTGTACTGCAGTGCCACTCAAACAAAACCAGTGAAAGTGACAAACAATCTGTATTGATGTCATGCCACCCCAGAATATGCTGCAATCTTCTATTTGCCATTGATCAATCTGTTTGTCATTTTTTTAATAAGAAGGAATGCAAAGTTTGAAAAAAAAATGAGCCATACATTGCCAAATAATGTAAAATACTGATTAAATCTGAAATTCACATTGTATATATTTTTAGGGTTTGTTTTTTTTCCACAACACGAGATTTTGATAGCATGCAACTTAATTGAGTGCCAGAGTGATGAATAAGGAGGAGAATCTGAAGTGTCATATCAATGACAAAATATTCAGCTTGTTGTCTCCTGTTGTCATTTTAAATAATACAGCAAAGCCTCCTTTAATGAATGTTTTATGTAAGATTA